GTACTGGGACACTCTCTTAATATATATTGTCACTCATAAGTTAGATTCAAAGTCCTATCGTGAGTGGGAGGAACTCAAGGGGAGCTTAGACAAAGAAAAGCCGATTTTTTTCGATATGTTTCTCGAATTTATGCGAAATCGTGCCGATTTATTTGAGACGTTAGAACTCTTACGTAGCGGAGGACAATCACATACAAACTATAATACCAGGTCCAAATTAAAAACCATGGTCACCGTTGCTAATCCCGATATTAGCTCAAGTGCTGCAACCTCACTTTCCAAACATTGTCCTAAATGTAACAGTGAACACAATTTAAGCAATTGCCCTTAATTTTTAGTATTAAGTAATAATGCAAGGTTATAATTGTTACCTAATTATAAAGTTTGCTTTAACTGCTTTCAGAAAGGTCATTTTGCAAACCATTGCAAAAAAACGGGGTGTAAAATATGTCGACGAAAGCATCATACCCTAATTCATTCGGAAGTCACGTCACTTAAGCATCTTGATAGCAACAATGCCCGAACTGAATCTAACACTACACTGTTGGAGACTATACCAGCACCGTCTAGTGCTAACATTACTCTGTCGGTGAGTGTCGAACCGTCATCGTTTGGTAGGCGAAATCGTGACAAATACGTCGTATGTCTACAGCGTTAATTAAACTGTATGATAAAAAGAATCGTGAGCACATAGCTTGCGCCATGCTCGATAGCGGAAGCACTTTATGTCTTATGACAGAAAATTTAAGTCAGAGATTAGTTCTGTCTATTAACTGTGTTGACAAATCTTTACTTGGCATTAATAATGAACTCTCCGCGTATCACAAAAATGAGTCGCGTAGACATTAAGTCATTGAATGAAAGTTTTACAACAAGTCTCCAATGTTTTATTTTACCGACAAGAACCGATAACGTACCTTGTAAAAATATAAAATTGATTTGACGAGTCTGAATATTCCGTCAAATATTTGTTTTGCAGACCCCTATTTTCACACGCCTGCATCGATTGACTTAATTATCAAGTGCTGTAAATAATATACCTTTAAGAGAAGTTACCCTGTTTTATAATAATAATAACAATAATAATACTTTCCGCGAGAAAATGTTGGGTTGGCTTTTTAAGCGCTCCCACCATGCATAATATCGAAGTGTGCAGCCTCCGTAATTACTTCCTGGTGAGATCGGATAATCCATTCCACAGGGACGTCATTTCATATGATAAAAATCCTGCTCCTCTATCCTTAGCCAACGTCCAATGGCAAGACTCAGCAGTACAGCGCTATTTCGACCAGAAGACCATATGGATGGAGAAGGAGCTCCAAGGCTCTACATGAGACTTTCGTAAACAAAGTCGCCTCACTCCAATGGCTACGTTTCGGTGACCTCTTTGGAGAAAGCGAGGGTTTTGTCCGTGCGATACATAACTAAATTAGTTTATTAAGACTAACAACTATATGAGATATATCCTAAAGGACGTCGCCGCGGACATCTGTCGAGCTTGTCGCCATCTTGGTGAGTCACTTAGGCATGTCTTCTCCGGTTGTTTGGCGCTTACTAAATCCGAGTATTTGCACAGATACAAACTAGTAGCCAGGATACTATACCAGGAGCTTGCTCTGAAGTACGGTGGTGGATGGGAAACTGCCTTATTATAAATACATGCTAGAAGCCGTGCTCAAAAATGACCGCGACAGGCTCTACTGGGATCGACCTATCATCACAGACAGGACTATTCTTGCGAATAAGCCTGGTGTTTTTCTGATGGACCGGGCACAGCCAAGAATAATTTTGGTCGGTATTACCATTCTGTATGACGAGAACCTCGTGAGAGCCGAAACAGATAGGCAAACAAAATACCTGGACCTGGCTCACGAGGTGACCGACATGTGGGGTGGTCTGCTGACCGAAATTATTCCTGTAGTCGTTTCTGCAAGCGGGCTAGTCCCAGTCAGCCTCTCGGGTCATTTGAGGCGGCTGGAACTCCGTGACAGACCGCTCCATGCTCAAATGCAGAAGGCGGTGCTCCTCGATACCGCCCGCATCGTCCGCCGGTTTCTTTCCCTTTCCCCCTAACCCTCAGCCGTTTGATCTCCCCTGCCTAGGGTTTCCATGTGATTTGGGTTTTATTTATGTAAATATATTTAAAATATATTTATGTTTATTTATTTATTATATTCTTTTATTCCATTTGTAGGACTAACAAAAATATTAGGGCAAAACACGAGATTGATAAACTTTGTGGCTCTGTTGACCTGGTGGTAATAATGCTAGAAAGATTAATTTTCATATTTACGTTTGGTTTTGCATTTATAAAAGATATTTTTTATAATTTTTTTTTGTGGCGAAAAAAATTCTTTTTATATTTATTTATGTTACTCGAACTTTGGGCTGTGCCTGTGGTTATATATTATATTCTTTGGTTTTGCATTTATAAAAGATATAATTTTTGTCATATAACGGACACCCTACTATGACAAAAAAATATAAGGAACACACTTAACACGTACAAAAATTTTGGTTTTAGGTTAAAAAACAATTTATGTTTATCGGTAGGTCACTTTCTTTCTTCTTATGTTAACTTAGTGAGTGTAGAGAACCCGATACCCTTTTTACTAGAAACGAGGAAATCAATATTTGTCCTCACGGGTGACAACGCATCTGCATTTTGATTCGCAATTGAGGATAGATGTAGATGTCTATGGGCCACAGCAACCACTTACTATCAGGTGGACTGCGTGCTCGTTTGTCACCTTACCCTATAAAAAAGTTAAAATTTTTAAACAAAATTAAAACATAATTTTTTGCAAACTTTACTTTGAACATTGACTAAATATTTTTTGTAAGGAGAGGGAAGTATGTCAGGATCTATATTTATTTATTTATTTATTACAAAAACAGTAACAGCACCATAACAGTACAAGACCAAGACAATGCTGTACGAAGACAAACAAAAACTGAATACTAAACTACTGACATTAAAATATATACACTATTATAATTAAGAAAAATAACTATTAAAATTAAATCTATATAACTTATTAATTGCGCTCCACTGCACGAACCTATCTATATCTCGCTGAAGCTGCTTACATTCCGAAATGTCCGCTACCAACAAAAACAATTTTAAGTCGTTTGCAAACAAGAGACATTTCGAGACCATAACGACTTTTGGGAGATCATTTATCAATAATACGAACTCCAAGGGACCCAAATTACTTCACTGGCTCACACCAGAGAATGCGAAATAAGGTTCGGATTCATGATCCGCGAACTCTACGTACTGTCGGCGTTCACCAAGGTAACTCGCAAAAAATTTTAAAAGATGCGGTGTGAGACCTACCGCCGTAAATTTTTCTAAAAGGATATCGTTATCTACCGTATCAAAAGCTTTCCGAATGTCGAAGTAAGCGACATCCACCTGCCCCCAGTGTCGATAGCTGGCGTCAGATATGTCATAAATGACTGCAAGTTACTCGCTGTACTTTGACTCGGCCGAAACTCATGCTGAACGTCGGTCAGCTGCGAACTGAGCTGCGTATAAATACATTTTTGTAATACGGATTCAAATACTTTGGCGAATGCAGACAGCACCGTATTCCATATACGCTCACATCTGAAGGCGAACCTGCCTTAGGCTCCGGTATCACTCTTGTCATTTTCTATTATTTAGGATAGTAGCCTTCTCGGAGACATAGACTAAAAACTTGAAGCCGAGGATTTTCAAAAACAGAGCTACAATCTTTGAGAATGTAAGGTGGTATACCGTCAAGGCCTACAGAGCGCTTAGGCTTAAGGCGTGCGAAAAATATATGAATAAATATATATGAAAGTCCGTAGTCCCTGTCTGCCCCTCTGGGTGACATTCCTAAATGTTCATGATTATTGTGGTAATATACCTGCTACGTGGTTCGAAAAAACGAATAACGATGGGAAATAAAGGTTCTGGAGCGAAAGTGTCGTACCGGTAAGCGAGGTGTAAGTAGCTGAGGACCACTAAACAGGCCTTCCCAATAGATTGCTTCATAGAGGGATAATTGCAGTATGTATATATATATATATATTTATATATATATATATATATATATATATATGGGATATATATATATATATATATATATATATATATATATATATATATATATATATATTGTACTGTTATGGTGCTGTACTGTTTTTGTGATAAATAAATAAATATGAAGGGAAACCGGATAGAGGGTGAAACCAGATAGTTACTATTTCATTACTCCGCGTATAGTTGGCTTAGCTAGTTCTAGCTAATGGAGAAATACGCGCGAACGCTTACTCAGTGCGGTAACATCTCTGCGCGTGCGTCTATAAACGAAAATTGAAAACAAAGGTAAGTTATCTAAGATTTTGATTTTTTGAGAGTATTATCATTAAGTTTAGCTATGTGCTATCATAAACATTTATATATTATAAGAAGTAATACATACATACATATTTAAATTTTTAAAACGGTACTTGGTATCGCTATGAGTGTCAAGATAACTTCTTAATTATTACAATTTCAAACATGGTACCTATGGAGTACAAGCGGACGGGGTGATTTCGACTATCCAATTTCACCCCGATTGATTTGTATGTAGGTCTTGTGGGCGTTTAGACATAAAGTCTCCTTTTAATTGCTATTTTATAACTTTTTACAGAGTACGAGCGTCAGCAAGCCACGAACATACCTGAGAAAGTCAAATAGGGTTTAATGGTCCCAGTCAGACATACTTTTAGCCATAAATTCGATCCCATGCTTCTTGTCTTAGATGGTCACGCCACACACACTAAGAACCTAGAAACTATTGAACAAGCTCGCGCTCATGGTGTCCTAATGCTCTGCTTGCCACCTCACTACACGCATCGCTTACTGCCACTCGATGTTGGTTTTATGGGGCCGTTGAGCACATTTACTCGCATGAAATCCAGTTATAGCCTCGAAATCATCCGGGGCGTGTTGTTGTGAAACTGCTTATAATCGTGTCGCTACAATGCAAAATGCAGTGTCTGCTTTCACCAAAACCGGAATTTGCCCACTGAATCCCAATATTTTTACAGACGTAGATTTTGCACCATCACAGACAACAGAAATATCATTTGAACCAACCACAAATGTAATCTCTCAGGATCCATTGCCTCGAGAAAGAACTCCGTCCCCGGAAGCAGGAACATCTACAGAAGGACAAACATTTTCAGATTCTATAAGTCTTGTATCACCGAAAGATATCATGCCGATCCCTTAAAAACACGGGCCATCGACGCGTCGAAGAAATACAGCAATTTCGACTGAATCGTCATATAGAAATTAACTGGCTGAAAAAGCCACGCAATAAATTATCAAAATAAAATTTAAATGCAAAGGTAAAGGTATAGGGAAAAAGACTAATAAAGAAAACAATCAAGAGCATTCGGAGTGTTTGGTTTGTGGTGAAAAGTAAAGTCAAACTAAGTCCACAGATGAATGGTACCAACGCACTGCTTATCTTGAATGGGCTCACGAAAGATGAATTGGTTGTTCTGAGCAAGAATTATCATTTTTTGTATGCAAAAACTGCGAATAATTTGAGTATTTTGTTTTATTGTTAGTATCTGTATTCACCGTCGTAATATAAAATGCCTATCCGGTTTGACCCGTAGATGTGGGGTGAATTCGGATTTATAATTTTTGATTAAAATTGTTCTAGTTTGTAGTAATTCAGATTGATCTCAAATATTTTCATACCAATGTTATGCCTAAGGTATGCTCAAACATTTGTGATATTGATTATCTCAATAAATAACATAGTGATTTATTTATTGTGTATTTTTCTTAACTATCCGGTGTCCCCCCTTACTTACATACTTACATGCTCGTCGGTCAAGGGTAAAGAAAAAATAATCTCTTAATCTAGCTAATCTTCAATATATCGCTAATTTGGCTAGTTCGTGGAGCTATGTGGTCGCCCCATTGTCACTGCAGGTTATTGATCTGTTGGGGTATGGAGGCGTAGATACGTATTCTATCACGCAGAGAAACACCAAGTATAGTCTATTTATATAGCTTGCTGAACGAACTTCCCCATAAGGCGAGAGATACAAGAACAGTATGAACACCAAAATAACTTGACAACATATCCATTTATAATTTTGGTATGAATCACAAAAACATTTTCAACAATAAGAGATATGAAATAAGACTGTTGTCTTCAACATTCTATGACTGTATTTCAATATTTCTGTTATCACGGCAACAACAATTTTTTTTAAGCGATCCACCTGAAAAAAATAATTATTATTGTAGTGTCTATATTAAATAGTAAATCCAATCAATACATTATTTTTTCTTTATTTATTGCAATCTTAATAGCGTGTGGTTGAGCTAGTTTACAATCAGGGGCAAAGGAACAGAAAATGGTGACGCTATTGGTTCCTGGGTTTGAATCCGGAACGGATGGTCACAAAATGGTTAGGATGACTATGATGCCCTTCGTATCCGAATCGAAGGAACCTGTAAGTGGTCGTGTGGAGCGATAGGGTTCTCGGGTTCGATTCGCGGGTCGGGTCAAAATTTATTATGCAAGATTTTACTATGTGTCGACTGTATGCGTAGTTGGCGTGGTTCTCTGTAATCAATGCAAAATAGCGGAAGTGGCACGTGGCCGGCTTTTGGACAATTCACTTGCTAGGGCGTAATCTGCTATGTTAACCGGCACGGGTATGAGCTGTTGTAGATAAAGAGTGGCACAAATGAGAACAGCTCACGCTAGGAAAAGAAAGTAGAAGGCACTTACTTGGGCGTTGGTCTTCTGGAAGCCTTTTACTCAGGCCTAAGGTTGATGGCGCTACGTTGTAGCTGCGGTGGTGTGCGACGATAACTTGCACTATGCGAAGCGGTTACTATTAGCGGTTCTTTAGTCGTGCGACTGCTACAGAAGTGCAACCACCTCTTGCGAAGGTCTTTGACTACTTGGCGCGGCGACGGCACGTCGAGAACAACTGGCTGGCCGGTGGCGTGTTTTCAATCTTTCACTTTCCACTAGCAAGTCTTATTGGTATGTCCGTGCCGGAAAGGAGATGGAGTAATGGGAAAGGATGCCAGCTAATATAATCTAAAAATATGCGTTTGGCGCAACCATTACCTCCCAGCTAAACTAAAGCTAATTCCATCGGTCAGAAAGGAACGAACTTATTGGGAGGCATAGACGGACAACAGGTCGCATATCATAACACGGTCGTGGTCCCAACACGACCTGTCCTCGTTATTTCGTCGGATCTAGGAAAACCCTTTTGAATGATCCCTGATGGCCAATAAAGAGGCAGCGCGTTCTCTTTAGTGAGAGTAACTATATTTCCGACCGTTAAGGGTTTAGTTGTCGTGTTCCATTTTTGCCAATATTGCAACGTATGTAGATATTCCGACTTCCATCGCTTCCAAAATGACTGCACTAGTCGGTACAATAAATTATGACGTGAAAGAACATGAAATTTGTCCTCGTCAATGTCTATAGCGGGAAAAGAATTCAAACACGTTAGATTCAAAAAATGCGCTGGAGTTAAAGCCAGCGGCTCCGAGGGGTCACTTGACAATGTAAGACAAAGGGACAAAAGGGAAAATTCGTAAACTTTAGGGTGCCGTTGATATAAACTAAATTGTGAGTTGGACAAGCGCCCACCCACTCTAACAATTCCATTCTGCAAAAAGAGTTTGAAGCGTTGAAAAGCACGACTACAAGCCCTACTCGATTGTAATCTTGTAATTTCATCGGCAAAGTGCACACGTTGAAGCTCACGTAGAATTAACAACTCGGCATAACTATAATTTGACGCAATGATATACGGACGTCGCGGTAAAAGCTTTACAAATCGACAGACGTAAACTACGCCACACAATATAAACTACATATAAACAATTGATACTACAAACATGATCAAACACTACTTGATCACTTCCAGAACTACAAAGGCTATATATTATAACGACAAAATTATTCAAATATCACACAGCGTCAGCGTACTACTGTGGCGGAACTAACCTATACATTTTATATGTAACACTAATAATCTAAATAAAAGCTAATAAGCAAATGTTAATTTATAATTTCAACACATCTCTAAAATCAATCACACACGATTACATAATCGTATGCATGCAATGTCTATAGCAAATCGAAACTATTAATAATTATAAGCGCTGAAGTTATGCGACTAACGCTTCGGAATAACATTGCTTATGGATTTTTGCTCGCAAAGCTTCACTTCTTTCCGCCTAGCAAGATTGGCTTTAGCAGGTCTATCCCGTAACCTCCAAGGCAGCACGCTTTCTGCTGCAGCGGCTCGGCATCTCCATGCGCCATGGCAGCGACCTTGCTCCGCGCCGCGCGCGCCTTCTCTAACGACAAAGATTCGAGTCCCGTGTCGCTGACCACGTAAACCGAATCTGCCACCTGAAGGGTCGCAGTGTGATCTAACCTTGCTAATCTGGGTCGTCTTCACAGTGTCTATAAACCTGGCTACGGGGCTATCCCTATTCGGAATTCCCTTCGGCTGCGATGAAACTACTACAAGTTTATTACCTATTCCCGTACTAATAGATTCTAACGTCATGCTTTTCAACTCCCCGCATAAACTATTATCTAAACTAAGTCTAGGCGGGACATTTCCCTCTTCCCTAATAATTCGGACTATCCGAGTTTACAGTCCGCAACCCGTAGCTTGCAAGCCAAGAATTAAATTCTTTGTGAATAATTTATATCTAAAATTTTCCAGCCCTCCTACTCGTCAAAACTGAAAACAGAGCACTTGTGCTTAGCAACTGAAAAATACATTGGTAAGAGACGGACTCGTAGGTGCAGAAAGTCCAAACCCCCTTGTATTTCGGTTTATCCTTTAAAAACAAAATATTGCAATCCATTGGATAAAACTATATTTAGGGATTTCAACGTGTTTATTTCAATTATTTTTAATTCCCGTCTTTTCTGGTGGTAATTAACGTTCCGATGTTAAAGTTAACTCAGAGTACCTTAAGATTTTAATTATTAATTGTGGTCTGATCTACGCAGCATGAGCTAACTATATATTGAAACCGTAATATAGTTTTATTGAATGTATAATGTTCACGTAAATATAAGAAATTAAAATGTGACCGGTACCTCCTAATTTCAGCTTCTGTTAATCTCAAAATTTCATCCAGAATTTTACGAAAATAAACTCGTAAATGTAAACAAATGAATCCAAACTTTTATCGAGAACATTAATTATTACGCAAGCGAGTAACAAGGTTTTTCCGCGTTTCAAATGACCAAGGTTTTATAAATTGCTTTTACTTGATTTCTTATTTAAGTCTCATTCCTATTTGTATTTTAATAAATTGATTTTGTGTGGTGTTTATTATTGAATATTAAATGTCCACTTTTGAACATGAACCTCATATATAGCCGCATTTGGGGGATTTCGCGATAATTACCACACATATCAGGCGGATGACAGCCGTATTTTTTATTGCCTTAAGTTATTACCAGGAAGCTTATACCATCTCCTGTTTTAATTTCCTTCTATCGCCTCCGTAACGACACCCATGTGATAAAACAAGGTAGTAGCCATTTGTGTGGTGTACCCAGCAACGACGTGTACATATGCTGTATTTTTACATTATTTTAGAATGTCGTTGTATTTTACAAATTTTCACCTTTAACTTTATTTTAAGGTTTTATCAGCGAGTACGGACCCTCATACAAGCGTCTCACAATACACGCACACTAGCTCGGGGTTCACCTTCAGTAGCATACTGAAAAACAGAGGAAATAACGGGATGCTTGCTTCGGTAGTATTAATTATTGTGTTATTTTCTCTACTACTACTAATGTAGGTGCGTCGCGTGCGTTGCGTAGATAGGTTTTGTTAAGCTGTCAGTGTGCTTTACCATCTATGATTGCATCAACACTTACTATTAAGTGGAATTGTGGTTGGTATAACCTTTTTTTAATATTATAAGCCAGTGCTCGAGTACTATCCCGCCTGACGGTAAGTGGTGATGCAAGCGAAGATTGTAAAACGCACTTAAAAAAAGTCTATTCGCTCTTGCCTTGAAGACACACACGACCGGATGTATATACAGTAATATATTTGATAATTGTACGTTAATACAATAATTATGTATTATTTTGAAAACATATATTTGTAATATATAGATATATGATTTTTATACGTGGTAGAGCCATGCCGCAGCTATATTAATAGTATAGTTGTAGCACGAATGGGTCAGCTC